GAAAAAGGCAAAACATTCTGGGTAAACACCTTGCATCTCTTCCTACAGTTTTCAACTAGACTGCATGGCTTTGATACCACAAATCTGTTACATTTTTCACTTGCTTCCTCTTTCTGACTGAGGACAGCATAGCTAACTAGGGGGGGGAGGTAAATGTTGTAAACTATCTTTTTAATGTTTTTTTATCTGCCTGACCTAAAGATCATTTGGGAAATTGTCCTTGTGTTAGTATGTCAAGGACATGTTCAGTCAGTCTCTCTTCCTTCTCTTGCTAATCCATAATGCATCATTCCTTGGAGCTCTGGGAAGTGGCCCACCACCAAAATGCTTAATGAGATAATCCATGGCTGCTAGAATGGGGGTAAGTTCTCTATGGGTCAGAAGCCTCAAACTGGAGGATCTGAGCAAATATGAGAAGTCCTCCCTCCCTCCCCCCCATCACACTTGGTCATTGTCTCTAGTTTTTTTTACTGGGGGAGCATTAATTAGATTGGCATAGCTTTCAGCTACAATCAGAGTTTAGAAATTGAGCAGTTATGTTTTTAAAAGTGTTCTGGTGAAAGATAAAATTATAGAATTTACATATTACAATTCTAAGTGTTCCATCCTCTCTACTTTCTTGAAATTGATGGATTATAAAATGACTCTTGTGCACACAATGCTTATCACCAAAACCTGCAAAATTAGAAAGATTGAGAATTTAGTACAGGCTTATGTTTTCTATATGTATTGATACACACAATATTCTGTGAACACACAATATTCATGCTCTCTGCCATCCCAACCTGAGCTAACTAATATGACCAGTCTCAAGTCTGAAATTCAAGCTTTTGTTAATTGATGGCAGATCTTTAATGGCAGATCTTTAATACACTTATTCACAGACCAAAGTTAACCCATGACAGGTATTTATACTAAAAAGAACATACTTTCAAAATAGCCCTGAAGAGTTTACAATCTGAACAAATTAACTGATTGTCAATCTGAACAGTAACCTGCCTACTAAAATGTAACAGGCATGTAAGTTTCAGCATAATTTGAGTTGTAAATTAAAGTATCTATTGCTCTAGGGATGTGAATGGTTAACTGGTTAGGGCTGGAGCAGCTCCTCACCTACCGACAGGGAGCTGCTCTAGCCTTGTAGGGCCCCGCGCAGGCAACGGCTACTCCATCCTGCCAGTCGGAGCAGTCCAGGCCTGTCTCCTTCCTCCACCACATAACGTTTAACTGGTTAGCCAATTAAACAGAATTTTACATCTCTAGTTGCTACTTTCAGAATGTCCCTTTTTTTTCCCTCCAGTGGGAAAGTAAAACTATACTGCGGAATGAGCCTTTAATCTTGGAAGGAGGTTATGAGACTTGGCTTCTTTGTTATCCCCAATACACAACAAATGCTAAAGTGACTCCACCCCCACGTGGCAAGAATGAAACAGTATCAGTCTCATGTAAGTATAAATGACATTTTAACTATATTTAGAATAATTTTTAAAACATCTAAAATTATGTACAGTAATTTAAATATATTAAACCTATTTAATAGTCTGCTCCTGTTTCATATTAGGAAAAAAAACTTATATTTGTTATTTCAAAAAGCTCTATATTTGTGGTTTTCAGTAGATTTTACTTATCCCTCTCTGGAAGAGCCAGCTCCTTCTCCTCCACCACCTGTTGTCTGTGAAAAGCCCACTCCAGTAGAAGTGACAGAGAATGATGAAATGGAAGATAACCAAGTGGGGAAGATAGGATCACATTACGCACCAACTCCAAGTGTGCCAGTTGCTGCTCTCCCTAGTATCGATGGTTCACCTATAGTCCCCCCAATATCTGCTGTGAAAAGTGTCCCACAAGTAAGATGATTTTCCTTGTTTAAGCTTTTATTTAAAAGAAAATCTCTATCGTAGATCTGTATTGACCATTTTAATTAGATTGAGAGACCTACAAATGGGAAAAGTCTTTAAGTTTTACTGTTTCCTCACAGCTTTCTGCATTTGCCTAAGTACTGCTGACTTAATACAATTAGATTCCCAATTACTCTGATCACACAGCATGTGGTCAACTAGGAGGGCTTACCCTTGAGAATCTCTAACCTCAGTTTTCCAGTCATCATGACACTGTGGCCTGTCTTCCCAAGGCTCTCTCTGTGCCTTAGTCTTCTAACTGAAGTAAGTGTATTCCCTATATGGAGCAATCAAAAATAATAAAGCATTGATTTGCTCTTGTCCATGCAGGGGCTCCACACAGTTCTTTTGCTTTCCTGGGACAACAGCCCTTTCTCTTTGTTTTCTAATGTCTTTTCTTTTGGTGGGAGCTTATAGCAATCCTGTGCCCTTTTGTCACAGTTTCCTTCTGTCAGTATAGCTGAGGCAGAAAGGAAAACTGGGCCATCCCCCTAATTTAGGCTTCAACCCAGGAGCCATGAAACGACACTCAGCTTTGCTTTTCCCTAGATCACTTTCTATACTTTGCTCATAGCCTCCGGGATCTTCCCTAGGTTTCAATAAAAAGACTCTTAGGACTCTTCACTTAGGCTTTCCCTAGTCAGAGCCCCAGGGAGCTCTTAAATATCTGCTTCCCAATAAGTCACATGCTGTGTCAGTGATCAGGAGAAAGGGAAAAATATGCCCTTCAGAGCAGGAGTGTAACTCTGTGAAAGGTCCAGCTGACCTGACAGTTTGATAATAACTGTGGAGTTCTAATAATAATTAGTTATAATGCTATTTAACTTCAAAGTGCTGTATAAACTATTAATACTCACCTAATACACTAATTCTGCTAATGGGTTAAACTGAAACATACCCGTTTTGTGACTTGCCTGAGGCCATTTAAGACTCTTAACATTGATTTCTGAGTTCTAGTCCTGTTCTGCAACTGCTAAGTAACATTTCTTTCTGGTAGAATATTCAGGTCAAGAACAATTGTGCAAGCCCATTTTAAAATCAAATGGATAATAACACCATGTTGTTTTTCAAAACTTTCGTTTACAGAACCTATGAGTGAAAGAGATTCCATCAAAGTTCTGCGCAGATTTCAGTTTACTTCTGGACTTTATTAACATTTCTTAAGGGCTGAAGCAGTCATTTTCAAGGGGAAGAGGACGGAGGAAAAAACTTAGATCTTTTTAACATCTTAGCTTTATTATAAAGCGCTCTCTCATAATAGCTTTCAGTTGGAAGCCCTGAATAGAAATCAAAACAATGTTTCTTCAGTATAAAAAAAATAGTTTTAGGAGAGGTATATGAAAGGGAAATACTGAAAGACACAAATGAAAGTGTGCTTCTGCCAGATAAAACAAACATGATGGAAGTAAGCAGATTGTTTTATAAAAATGGATGACAACTATGGTAGGCTTTACTTGTACAAGTCCAAAAGCAGTTTAGTTAAAGAAAGTAGTGTTGTTAAAGGAATGGTATGTGATATTAAGGACTGTAAACAAATGTTTCTAGTAACATTTTACACTTTGTACACTTTGTTTTTATTGTGCCAGATTGATCGTACTAAAAAGCCTTTAGCAAAATTTCCTGATGTTAATAATCCAAAATCTGAAGTTACAACCCCTGATAAACTTCCTATTCAGAATGGAAGAATGGTTCCAGATCGTTCCACAAAGCCATCATTTGATGCAAAGATCACTCTGACGGAAGAGGAGAAGAGCCGCATACATGCAGAAACAGCTTCCCTATTAGAGAAGAGCAAACGGGAAAAAGAGTTGCGGGAAAGACAACAAGAGAAAGAAAGAGAGAAGCAGGAGCAAGAACATAAAGCAAAAGAGGACCGGGAAGAAAAGGAACTCAGAGAAGACCTACAGCAAACAAAAGAAGAGCAAGAGAGAAGAGAACAGGAAGACCAAACAAGTAGGGACCAAAAAGAAAGACAGAAAGCATGCAAAGAAGAATTAGAAGAAAAAAGACAAAAGAAAACTGAAGAAACTACTACTGCAAAAAAACTTGAGCTTGATAAAATATCCGCGGAAGAAAAAGAAAAGGGGACTCGAACACCAGAAATGCAGAGGCGTGCATTAGGAGATGGATCTCTGACAGGGGTGTCAGTCTCAAGCAAGGTTAGTAAGCGAGCAGTTTAAGAGCTAGAAAACTAAAGTGGAGTAGTCACTTACTGACAGAACTGTGCTATCGATTAATGGAAGCAATCTGCAAGTAACGGTTTTGTTTGTAACCTGACATTTTGACTTAAAACTAGAGAAGTCGTCAAAACAAATTTGAGGGCAGATCCTCAGTCTCACTTTGTGCTATTTAAGCAATACAAAGTAGACAGATTCTGACCAGACCTGAGCAGCAGAGAATTCTCTTGAGGCTGAGGAAATCCCTACTGATTATAGAACCAGTAGAATTGACTCCTGTTCTGACTACCCTTCCATCCCCAGCATAGGAGGCTTTTCAGAGGCATGGTAGCACTCTATTCTGCTATACCAATCCTCTGTTTACTGCTTTAACTCATCCTTGGGAAAGACAGAATCACAGAGCCATAACTAATTCGCAAACGCCCGTGTTAGACAAAAGACCTGCAGGAGAGAATAAAGACTATAGTATTATTAATGTGTGCGCTCCCCACTCTGGTATCTTTGACATCATAGCTCCTCTTTATCCTTCTAAATACTGAGGGACATGAACAAGATCAGTCACATTTGCCTTCCTGTAGTTGTGAAATAGAATAAGTTAGTTGGAAGATCTGAAGAAATAGGTTAGAGTTCACTACAGGTTAATAATTGCATTTACAGCTTGAAAATGTACCATGAAAAGTTGTTGAAATTGTCTTTAATCTTCAGATTAGGGGATGTGGAATTTATGCATCAGAGATATTAATGCAAAGGAAGTTTTTAATCTTTCAGCAGCTCCATAAACTCATCTCTAGTAATTGTGGGATGTTAGAAGTAAACATTTCTAGTTTATATAGAAATATAAAAAAATCCAACTTTTAAACTTTCTAGATTATATTAAATATAAGTAATTAGTTCATCAAATCCATGTTTCTTTTTTTCCTCTATCAGTATCTTGCAGATGTGCTAGCACCTCCTTAGTAGTTACACTTGCACCATGATTTTGTCTTAGATGGGACAAAAGGCAATGGGCTTAAATTGCAGCAAGGGAGGTTTAGGTTGGACCTTAATTGCCAAGGTAGTTCAGCAATGGAACAAATTGCCTGGGGATGTTGTGGAATCTGTCATTGGATGTTTATTAGTATGGGTTAGACAGCCCCATGTCAAGAAACTATTATGCAGTCCTGCCTTGAAAGCAGAGGGTGGATTATATGACCTATTAGGTTCTTTCCAGTCCTACACTTCTACGAATCTCTGCTTTATAAACATTTAAAATAAATTTTTAGCATTTCTCAGATGTGGACCACATGAACACAGTTGCAGCCAGGCTACATATGTTATATTATGACAGTTGTGAACAAATATCCAGTCTAGGAAGGTTAGTAGTAAGTACATTTTTTCAGTGATGTACTGCTCTGTTAGGGCACTTTTTACCAAATGCAAACTAATTCTAGTTTCTTACATACAATTAGTCTGTAACTGTGTCTTATCATTCCCCTTTTTTGCAAACAGATACACTGGTAAAATTCAGAGAACTCTAAATATCAGTGCCTGAAAACCTACTGAAAATTGAAGGAAAATGTGTTGGTTGCATTCTTAAATGCTCAAAATATATCACAGGTAGTAATGGTCTCCAAGCGCTTTTCGTTATAAGACTCCATTTTCAATTGCTTATAACGTTTCTAGTTCTGAATTTTTTTTTAATGAGGAAGTGGTCCTGTTGGGGTGAAAAAAATAGTATATGATCATGTAATTCAAGACTGTTATAATGTGTGTACACAAGGGGGCCAAATCAAGGTTGTATAGACAAACTTAGTTTTGGTATTTCCTCACGATTGAATGTCTAACTCTGCAATCTTACTATTCTTTCAGTATAGTATTTATGGATATAGCAAATAATTCCAGTTTTACTGATTTCCTAGTTTGTGTGGGTCTTGAGCCCAGCAACATCAGAAAAAGAGAGAGCCTGTACATTCATTACCTAGTGGAGAAGACACACTGAGCTGAGATTTCACAAGTCCTTCAACCAAAACACACTGTTTTAGGCAGGGATGTAAGCATGTAGTCATTTACACAATTAACCAATAAGCCTAGGTTAATCATGTAAATGACTACATGCGTGCCTCCCTCCTGCCCGTTGCCTCTGTATCGGGTGGGAGGGAGGTGGGAGCCAGTGCCAGTGAGGAACTAGCTCCCGTTCCCACATGTACCAGCTCCCATGGAGCCACCTCCTCCTCACTGCCTGCAATACGTGGGAGGCAGGCAGGAGCCAGTGTTTGCAGGGGAGCCAACTGTGAGAGGCAGCAAAGGGGGAGGCAGAAGGGGAACAGGCAGCTCTGGAGAGGCTTGAAATCTGGCTCCCCCCATGTATCTGCTCCCCCCGAGCCACTTCCCTTCCCTTCTCCAGAGGCAGCAGTGCAGGAGGGGCCAGGTGGGAGCTGGAGCGCAGGAAGCCAGCTTTTAAGCTCTGATAGAAAGGCAGCAGTGCAAGGAGGGGGTTGGCAGGAGCCAGTACGCACGGGAAGCAGCTTTCAAGTGGGCTTCCCGCACATATCGGCTCCCACTGAGCTGCCTGCCCTTCACACTGCTGCCTCTGAGGCAGCAGGGGGTAGGGGAGCAGGCAGGAGCCAGTGTTTGCAGGGAGCCAGCTCCCACCTGCTACCCGTCCCCCCACAGCATGTAAACATGTAACCGCTAAAAAATCCAGTAGTTACACATTTACACAAATACATGATAGTTAGCATCCCTAGTTGTAGGTAAAGTATAAAACAGATTTTAAGTGCATAAGTCCATCTTACACTAGTTATTGCAGGTGGTAAGCACAGATGGTTAGACATAGCTAACAAAGAAAAGGTAAGAGCGCAGTCTACATCTTAAATCTTACAGGAGACAAGGCATTGGACACCTCCTAGTCTTACATATTTCAGTAACAATCAGATAGCAAAATCTCATAACTTCATACACACTAATCATGTACATTTTTGACAGAACAATGGATTACATCAGATCATATCTTACAAGGCATGTTGTGTATGGAATATATCTTTATTATATACTAGGTGAATATAGGGATTCAAAGGTGCTGCTTTGAGGTAAAGTGCAACGTATGTACTTGTTCTTGTCAAACAAATTGAGGTGTGCCCCCCAAATTTTTTTGTGCTATAGCAAAGTTCCACATGCTTACTGACACTTAATAATTCCACCTGAAAATGGAAAGTCTCTTCAGAATCTTTTACAGCATACTGGGGTTAAAGGACAACAGAAAGTGAAGATCAAAAAGAGGATATTGATCAAGATACTGAAAGACGTAAAGTAAATACAGTGTGTTATATGTAGTTGAAAGAAACCCAGAGCAGATGGCCATCAGAGCACCTGTGCTTTTTCCCATAGGGGTTTCTCGTGCAAGAAACCCCTCTGGAGCGTCCACACTTGCCTTTATGCTCAATAGCAGTAGCGCAAAAGGGAGTTATGCCTTGTAGAAGAAGGTTTACCTACACTGGCAAAAGCCCTCTGTTCTGCCATTTTACTGCTGATTTACTTGCGCAAAAGCGCATTTGAGGTATGGATGCTCCGCAGGTTTTTTCACAAAAATGACCATTTTTGCACAAAAACCTTGCAGTGTAGACATAGCCCAAGTGTAGAGTATCTTTGTCATCCTATGATAACCTCCACTTTGTGAGGGGTGATAGGTGTTTTTTTTTTTTTTTGGAGCGGGGTAGAGAGTCATTCCTAAATATAGCAAGAAGACTCCTACCTAAAAGGATTTTGATAATAAAAGGAGTTGGGGAATCAAATTATTTTATATTTGGGATAGCTCAGTGGTTTGAGCATTGGCCTTGCCAAACCCAGGACTGAGTGTTCAATCGTTAAGGGAACCATTTAGGGATCTGGGGCAAATCTGTTAGGGATGGTACTTGGTTCTGCCGTGAGGGCAGGGGACCTGACTCAGTGACTTCTCAAGGTTCCTTCCAGTTCTATGAGATATACCTATTAGATGGATTTATTTTGGAAGGTGTGACAATGAAAGTTGTTCATTTAGATCAGGAGATGCTAAATAATAAAACCACGCTATCAGTTCTGTCTCCCTCCACCCTACCCCAAAACCCCCACAATTCACCAAATCCAAATTTCTACTTGGAACACTAGTATGTCTTATTGTTCTATGTTCTTCTTTTAGCTACATGGAGCATTTACAGAATACCAAAGACAAACTAGACATTCTGCGCATAGAAATAATTTCACATGCCCTTCTATTTTAATTGTATTATTAGTCCCAGCGGGAGCCATTGATGAGAGCACGAAGTGAAGAAATGGGGAGGATAGTACCAGGATTGCCTACAGGCTGGGCAAAGGTAATTATAATTTACAACAATCTAGACACCCAGAATGTGATGATGGCTTCTATTTGCACATTCATTATAAATTAGATTGGAGTTGACATTTTTTCACTCCTCTTGAAACTTATGTGATTGTTTTTATCTTAATCTTAAGATTATTGTTAATATAATGACTGGAGCTTTGTCAGCAATTTTTAGCATTTTGGCAGGGGTCAATATTTAATGCATACTTTGGGAAGAATAATACTATCACTGAGTATTGAAATCAAATCGTATTGCAGGCTATATACTTTAGTATTCATATTAGAATTACTCCGACAGTGTACTTAGTAGTTTTAATATTAGCCAATTAGTCTATTGAGGGATTTTATTCAGTTTTAAAAACTATTAATTTTTGTTACCCAAGTTTCTGGATCCAATCACTGGGACCTTTCGTTATTACCACTCGCCAACAAATACTGTTCATATGTATCCCCCGGAAATGGCTCCTTCATCCACCCTTCCATCCACTTCACCAACTCATAAAGTCAAGCCACAGGTGACTGCTGAACGGGACAGAGAACACTCCAAACTGAAGCGATCCTACTCTTCACCAGATATAACCCAAGCCATTCAGGAGGAAGAGAAGAAAAAAATTCCTGTAACTCCTGCAATCAGTCGTGAAAATAAGTAGGTCTGATAAATTAAATCAAACATCACAGCTGTTACACTATTGTAGGGTGTATAGTTTGCCCAACAGAATTCTATGAACTTTTGCCATTGGTTTACATGGAATATTTCTGATTAAGTTAAACTGCATAACTGTAAAGCTCAAAGCAGAATACAGCATACTGTGATCATCACTGAAAAGTGGTTTCTCCTTGTTTACCAACAATAACATATATAGATTGTAGACAGCATTATGTGAAGAGTGATGGTAAATGACAGCCATTTGTTTGTCTACTAGTATGTGTAAGGTGGCTGTTTTATTGTGGAATGAAAAGGTTTTCCATTTCTTAGTTACATTACAGTTCACTCCCTGACCCACGGTTTAAGAAACATTGATTTGGGCTATCCCTGTGCATCGCTGCAGACCAGTATTCATAATTTGCTACAGAATCTCCCATTAGTCCCATGTCTAGGCCTGCATACCTTAAATGATGATATTTTATGGCTTCCTTGGAGGGAGGGGTGTATTGATATTCTGAGTGCTTTGAGCACATAGCGCTGTATCTCCAGCCAGGGACAGATATCTCTTCCGAGCTAGTCAACACCATTTGGCTGGAGAATTCTGTTAAATGACATGAGGTATATTTAACTCCAAGGGCTAAAACTCACTGCCTTCTATGAGCTCCCAACTCTTGACCAACAACAATAAGGGAATAATAAGGTGCCTACATGAACAGAGCATTATGATAGACCGTAAGGCAGAATTGAAAACTCCACTTTGCTAACAACAATTTCTTCCTTACAGACCAGTGTATTACACTAAAGCTGAAATCTCAAGGCTATCTGCACAACAGATTCGTAATCTTAACCCTGTGTTTGGGGGATCAGGACCAGCTCTCACAGGGCTTCGTAATTTAGGGAACACTTGCTATATGAACTCCATATTGCAGTGTCTTTGCAATGCCCCGCTTCTGGCTGATTATTTCAATAGAAATTTGTATCAAGAGGACATTAACAGGTAACAAATATTCTTATTCTGTGTTGAATTATTTCAGGACTGAATTCAGAATGTGTATTTACCACTGTTACTATTTTTTGTTCAAAACATAAAATGGGGCTGTTATGGTCTTTAAAACCTCAGACATATTACAACAGATGTTCGAGTATACATTTTTGTGGGGTTTTGACGGTTTGAGATATGATAGTGTGCTTTGCCATAGAGACTCCTTCGATTACACCCACCATCTCAGTGCTTGGTCATATTACAAGATTAAAAAGAGCAAGTCTTGGTAGCAGTTGGTACAAATCAGAGAGGTGAAAAATTGCTGCATCTACCTTCAATGGACCCCTCTGGCTGGGTTCAAATTGGTAAAGTAAATAAAGGTATTGACTGCTTCAGCCTGGAGTACTTGAACAGTAATGCTCATTAGGAACCAAACATTTGTCCATGTTTGTAAAGGCTCAGGACATCAGTTGATTGTCTAATCTTGGGAAAATTTACTTTTGTCTTCCCACAGTATTGGATTAAAAAGGGGAAATTGTTTTGATTTATTTTAATGGCTTAACTTAATACTCAGTATTTCTATTTAATTGTATAGGTTGAATCTCTTGGGGCATAAAGGGGAAGTGGCAGAAGAGTTTGGCATCATAATGAAAGCATTATGGACAGGGCAATACCGATATATCAGTCCAAAAGATTTTAAAATTACAATAGGAAAGATCAATGACCAGTTTTCAGGATACAGCCAGCAAGACTCCCAGGAATTGCTCCTGTTTTTAATGGATGGACTGCATGAAGACCTAAATAAGGTAAGTAATCCCCTGTGATAAACACCATATCTGTTAGATTTCAAAACAGAAATATAAGATGTTGTATTCTTGTGAAGATGAAAATAAGTGGTAGATGTAAGGACTTGATTGGAAAAGTCTGTGTGCAAAATTGCATGCCTTCTTTATGCATGGGTTCACGTTCTCTGCTGTATTGGGTTTATACTTGACTCTGCTGGGGGAAGAGGGAGGTGGATGTGAGAGTGTGGAAAGGTGGCTTTGAAACAATCTCCGGATATTGGTTTGGCTGGGATGCCCTAGCTGTATCTAAATGCTGTGTGCCCTGCCCCTGCACTCCTCCTGTATAGAGCAGAAGGGACAGCTGAGGTAGGGTTAACTACACTAGCATTGCATTACCAAAATTTTCCTTGTATCAGGAGGAATCTTGAGTGGCCATATTCAGACTAGCTTATTGCTTATTTCAGGACAAAGTAGCTGGAGGAGAAGCCAATAATTGAACCTAAGAACACTACAATTGAGAGGTTAAATGAGAAATTAGACACAAGTGGCAGTTTGCACATTGTTACCGTTGTGTAGCATGAGTCCATTTTTCATTTTAATTAGAATGTTTTCACAGTTTGAAAATAATAATTCCCCCCCCCTTAGAATTTTGATTAAATCAAAGTCCTTTGAACAATTTTCTCTTCCCCAAACTTAAAAGGAATATTATTTAAGATAATTATGGATCCTTAACCTGTTTTTTCCTGAATTAAATGTATAATAAAGCCAGTAATATATATTCAGATGTTTGTTCATTTTAAAGTGTTGTCTTCAGTCTGTCTTTTTTCCCCCCTTATTTTTATGACCTCTTATGGCCCATTAGCAAGTAAGTAAATTGCAGCATACTTGTGCCTTTGTGTGTAGTGATATTTATACATTCTCCATATCATGATCATGCATTAGAATAACTACTTACTCAATTTATTTTAAGATAATATCCTTTTTTTCAAAGTTCCGTTCTTGCATTTAAATCTGTCTCCCACATTCCACCCATGCAGATATTAGAGGTATTGCTTTTCAGAAAGGGCAACATTTTCATGCAGTAATTAATGCCTGGGGGGGAGGGGGGTGGAGAGATAATTTGTTGTTACTATTTGGATTCCATCACAGTTGCTATTCATGGTGTGACTCTTTTTAAAATATATAAACCAGAGTGCTTCAAAAATATGGCAAAAGATTTGTGCAAGAAGCCTTCAGTAAGCAAATCTGTATTTCAGGAGTTAACTATCTAAATCAACTGTCAGTGGATGCCTGCTTATCATGATGCCTATGCTGCCATTGCTTATGGGATGTTCTTCTGATGGAAGTAAAACTAGGTGTACATCCTAACAGATGTTAAACCAGTGCACCTGTAGGAAATGCTAAAGAGCACCACAAAAATTATAACTAGCTAAAAATTATATAGCATGTAGGCATGTTTTCAAATTGGTATGGTTTTTAAAACTTGATCATATCTGTACTTATAAAATGCTCTTTTATGGTGATAAAGTATTTTAATTTTCTAATATCCAGTCTGACAAAATAATGTTAATATTGATGACTTCAAAGCATCAGAATTAGCCTGGCATAAACACAAGCAGCTCAATGAATCTATTATTGTGGCACTTTTTCAAGGCCAGTTCAAATCTACAGTGCAATGTCTTACATGTCACAAAAAGTCTCGAACATTTGAGGCTTTCATGTATTTGTCATTGCCACTTGCATCCACTAGTAAATGTACACTACAGGTAGGTTAGTGCGATAAATTAATTACTCTTCATGGTTTTTGTATGGTTCTGCTTCAGCCTTTTTGGTTGGAGGTACATCAGTATCACCATTGTAACTTGCTCTATGATTAGCCATGGTATATGTCATTTATTTGAGGAGGATCTAAAAAAAGTCAATGATTTTTATGTACATGACTACACTGAGATGTAGGTGCCTTTTGTGCTGCTGTAGTTTAAATATAACTCTTTTTTATAGTTACTGAACTCTTATTGCAGGTTATAGGATATTTTATTCATGAAAGTATCTTTTACTGCACAATGCATATAGTTATTATCTATGTTCTAAATATAGTTACTGCTTTTTAAAAAGCAGTATCCTATAACCTAAGTCATGGGCTAAAGTCTAACTATTTTATGAAACATAGAATACATGTAGCTCATGTTCATTTACAGACAAAATATTTGTGCTACATCATTATTTTTATAAAAGCCAAGCTTTTAAGTGTGTTTTCTATGTTTTGTTCTAGGAATGTCTTAGATTATTTTCCAAAGAGGAGAAACTTACAGATAACAACAGATTTTACTGTAGCCATTGCAAAATGCGAAGAGATTCTTTGAAAAAAATAGAGATTTGGAAACTGCCACCTGTTCTTCTTGTGCATTTGAAACGGTATGGTACTAAGTTTGTGAACATGTATCTATTAATAAATGTAACGTGGCCTTTAGGAGTAGTAAAGCAATAGATATTTTAAAAAAATACAGAATGTTAAGGAGGAAATGTGCCCATGGACATCAAGAATTTCCATTTAGTTTTCATCTGCTTCTTAATTTCATAGACTCCCCCCATGAGTCATCTTGTTGAGTTGAGCATGTAAAGTTACCTACATGTACAAATATTTGCAGTATTGCAGCCTTAAATTGTAAGGTAACCTGGTCACATTGCTTAGCTATGAAGCCTAATTTAACCTCAGTAAGCTCACATCTCAGTTAAAAAGCGTAACTAGAGACATAAAGGGTAACAATAAAATACTCTACAAATATATTAGAAGCAAGAGGAAGACCAAGGACAGGGTAGGCTCATTGCTCAGTGAAGAGGGAAAACAATAACAGAAAAGTTGGAAATGGCAGAGTGCTTAACAACTTTGTTTTGGTTTTCACCAAGAAGATTGATGGTGAGTGGATACCTAACATAGTGAATGCTAGTGGAAATGTGGTAAGTTTAGAAGTTAAAATAGAAAAAGAACAAGTTAAAAATTACTTAGAAAAGTTAGATGTCTTCAAGTCACCAGAGCCTGACAAAATGTATCCTAGAATACTCAAGGAGCTGATAGCAGAGGTGTCAGCCATTAGCTGTCATCTTTGAAAAGTCATGGAAGTCGGGAGAGATTTCAGAAGACTGGAAAAGGGCAAATATTGTGCCCATCTATAAAAAGGGAAATAAACCAAGAAACTTTAGACCAGTCAGCTTAACTTCTGTGCCAGGGAAGATAATGGAGCAAATAATTAAAGAATTCATCTGGAAGATAATAAGGTGATAGGTGACAGCCAGCATGGATTTGTAAAGAACAAATCATATCAGACCAGTGTGACAACTTTCTTTCATAGGACAACAAGTCTTGTGGATAAGGGGAAAATGGTGGATGCAGTAATACCTGTACTTTGATTTGATATGGTTTTGCATGACCTTCTTATCAATAAACTAGGGAAATATAACAAAGATGGAGCTACTATAAGATGGGTGCATAATAGGTTGGATAACTGTTTTCAGAGAGTAGTTATTAATAGTTCAGAATCATGCTGGAAGGGCATAACAAGTGGGGTACCCACAGGAGTCTGTTTTGGGACTGGTTCTGTTCAATATCTTCATCACGATTTAGATATTGGCATAGAGAGTACGCTTATTAAGTTGGCAAATGATACCACGCTGGGAGGTGTTGCAAGTGCTTTGGAGGACAGGGTCATAATTCAGAACTGGAGAAATGGTCTGAGGTAAATAGGATGAAGTTTAATAAGGACAAATGCAAAGTACTCCACTTAAGAAGAAACAATCAGTTTCACACGTACAGAATGGGAAGCGATTGTCTAGGAAGGAGAACTGCAGAAAGGTATCTAGGGGTCATAGTGGACCACAAGCTAAATACAGGCAGTCCCCGGGTTACGTACAAGATAGGGACTATAGGTTTGTTCTTAAGTTGAATTTGTACGCAACTTGGAACTGGCTCCAGATTCAGCTGCTGCTGCTGAAACTGACCAGGGGCTGACTACAGGAAGCCCGAGGCAGAGTTGCTCTGCCCCCAGCTTCCTGGAATCAGCCACTGATCAGTTTCAACAGCGGCTGA